AGATCCTCAGTCTCTGTTGGTTGCTCTTTAGTCCAGGGCTTCTGTGAGAAAAACTAATGTAGCTTACAGGGCATTTACATTACAATCTTATGTGTGCCTGTCTTCTGAGCTACGTCTGCACTTGGAGATATTAGGAAGAAATTCTTTACTGTGAGGGTGGTGAGGCCCTGATCCAGGTTGCCCAGGGAAGCTGTGGATGCCCCCTCCCTGGCAGTGCCCAAGGCCAGGTTGGATGGGGCTTTGGGCAGCCTGGGCTGGGGGGGGGGGGCCGGTTGGACTGGGGGAGCTTTAAGGTCCCTTTCAACCCAAACCATTCTGTGATTCCATGTTTTTCATTAGTTAGCTGATACCTGTGAAAATTACAATTTAATTAGCTTTACCATGAATTTTTGTTCATCCTCTGCCCCTGAATTTTAAATGTTTAAAACATTCATGAAAATATGGGGAGTCATCACTGAAGGCAATGTTTAAAAAAGGGAATTACTGCAGAAAAGGTGTTAGAAGTTGGTGATCACACTTCATTTTACTAAGTTTTTCTTTCTCATATCAAAGTACTCAAAACAAATCAGATGTTTGCATTTCTTGCTTCTATTAACCTCTAAAAGAACCGTTTATCTTGATAAGAAATCCAATGTAACAAGAATTCTTGCATTTATCTTATAAACAAATATTGTGGAGCCATAAAAGGAATGTGATAATTGAAAGCACGATCACAGCGCACGAAGAGGTGGGAGCACAATTGCACTGTGCTTTCCTGAGAGTTTCTGTTTGTACAAAGCAGCTAATCTTATCTAATCATCTTTGTACATATTGATCCACATGACTCCCATTAACCTACTGTCTGAGGCTTTTCCACACATTTATCTTCAAAGATAAAATCAAAATGGATTTTTTAGTCTTTTTCCAGCTCTAACACTTCAGGAAAAAACCCTAAGTTCAAACACTGTTTTTTCACTTGGGGGTTTGGAGACAAAATTGTGAAAATAAATTATTCTTTAATGAGCCCCACAGGCCTCTGTTCTTCGCACTACTTCTTGCCAGCAGTTGCCACCAGCCATGGAGATGCTAAACCTCCATTTCCAAGTCTTTACTATTTCAGAAGAAGGTGGACATCAACTGAAAGATGGCAATGCCAAACCGTGCATGAGTTATAGCACAGTTTCTTGATGCTTGCAAGGTAACCAAGATGAATCACATCACAGAGACTGTAACTCCTCAGGTGAGACCCATACGTTTCAGAAGAAAGCAAAACCCAGTTGTACTGAAAACAGGACATTCATTCACAACTATTGTTCTCCAAAAACACCCACAGTTATCATCACAAGATATTTAGTCTGTTGGTCTGCCCAATTGCCTTGGGCAGTTTGGGTACACTGCTGTCAGACACACCAGCTGACTGACTGCATCTCATCCTGAGAAGAAACAAACTCTTCCTCTACCACATGACACTTACACCTGCAAAGCAGCAATTTCTTCTTTAATTGTTATTTCTCTCTCATTTCCCTGCTATCTTCTGTTGACCTTCCTCCAACGATGGACTGCTACAAGTAAGTCAAAGAGTCCTGAAAATTTATTTCACAAATACAGATGTATCTGCCACAGCCTACCACACGCAAAGAAATAACACTTGTGTACTTGTTATAGCAGATCCCTTCTCAGGAAAAACCTGAAGTCAAGTTGACCAGAATCCAGAGAGTCCTCGAGATTTCTCCCGAATATTCTGTAATTGGGTAATCTCAGTAAATAAAATACTCTAGTGACAAAATATAGCTGGTGCTTTTGTAACGAACCTTCTGACTTGCCATTAAATATTGCATAAACACTGTCTGCAAATTCCAACTGGCAGAGAGCTCCCACCTCTTGGCAACAGTAAAAGGAAGTTAAAATTGCCCAAGAGCCAGAATGGCCTTGGGCTGATACCGCTTCAAGCCTCCATGTCTGCTCTCTCACCGTAGGCAGTGTGGGAGTTGAGTGGTACTCTTGGTTCATGCCCAGCATCCTCAGGGTGACACCCAGACACATCAGGACTCATCGGCTGAGCACTGGTGCACAGACCATTGTTTACTGAGTGATCACTACAGAGGGCACAGAGGACTCTTCTCTCACCACGCATGATGGCCACCTCTTTTCTACGTGCTTATTGCTTGTCCTGCAGGGCTCCTCTATTGACTATGAAAAACAGAAAGTTTCTGGAACAGACATTGCAGGGAGAATTTCCCCCAAACCAAAGTGTTTACACATCATTGGAAACATGCTCATCACAAACTGGAATGGGCCTTCCTCGATATTGCTAATGTAAACTATATTTTTCTTCCTACTGTCCCACTATACAGTCAATAAGCGTTTCTGCTGGTACTTTCTGTCTAAACTTCAACCCAGGTACATAATGGCGTGTATTAAACCAACTCCACCTAAAAGTGCCATTGGAGGTAAACTTTAAATACTACATAATTTATTCTCTTTACTGTAGATGCCCTTTCATCACACCATCATATAATTTCTGATTTGTTTCAAAAGTGGTCTTGGCAATTAAAATGGATCACCCAAGCTATGAAGCATTTAAATCACTGAGAAAGACAAGGATTAGAATCTTGATATATTCAGTTATCCTAAAATACTGGGCTGCCTTAAGCCCACACCGGCCTTTGAATCAGGAGTGCATAGATCTGTGCACCTGCTCACACACTAACAAAGCACAACCATGTCCTGCAATTCTCACTCTCCTATGGTCTTGCAGAAATTCTGTTGTATGCCAGCAGCTCTTTCCTGCCCAGAATCCCTGCTTTGCTCAAAAAATAGATGCAGTTTTTGAAGTCTGATGAAGTAGAATAGCAGCTTGGTTTGCTGAAACCAAATCTGCCAGCCCTGTATGAGTCATTCAGATGCACATACTGTCTTTCAAATAGCAGTGCACATACAAATGACATTCTTCTATTTAATGCAGTATGAAACACAAAAAGGTAAAATAATAATGGAACATTTGAATATTTCTGACATTTAATGTCTTAATCTGCCTTTTTGCCCTTCTTTTAGGGAATCTTCTAACTTCTAACATCCAGGACCTGCTAATCAACCTGGTAATTCAAAATCCTTTGTGGTTGTGCTCCAGGCATAGATTTATCAAGGGGAGGTGCCTTCCACTAGTGCCATCCTGTCAGGTACACACTGCAAGTCAAGTTACTCTGGAATTAGTCCAAGAATGTGTCGAGCATCACCTCCTCACAGACTTGCAGGCATCCAGTCCTGTATCACTTCCAAAGGTCTAAGTATAGAAAGTATTTACCTTCCTCACACACCTGGGCTGGTGTTAGTTAACCCTTTAGGTCACATTGTTAGCAATGCCAAAGGATGCAAGGAATAAAATTAACAAGCCAATCAGTGAGGACTATGTGAAACTTTGAAACCCCATGAAGCCAGAACTCATTTTATTTTAAATTTTTAGCAGCTTGACAGCTGCTGTTCAGAGGCTCCCTGGCAGCTGTTTGGCCAGCAACGTGCCACTGCTATGCTTCTAGTCCACATTGTCCAAATCAAAGGAGATCTGAGTGACAGTGTTGACATAAGTCAAGCCAGCAGCTTAGAGGACAGGCAAACCTTGGAGGAAGCAGCAGTCTCCTGGGTATTAACTGATCTACTTTTTTACTTGAATCTGTGCAGAATGTACTTTTTCTTCTCTTGCTTTCTATAATGCATGTCCTGGTCATTAAACTTTCACAGCAAGGGAACATAGTAAATTGCTTGCAAGTAGATCAGCCTCAATGAAAGCAAAGAAATTTGCTTAATCTTTACTTAAGAAAAATTAAGATAGCCAGCATACAAGAAAATCATTAACTCATAAGCTGGATTAAATTACTTTTAGGTAATGGTTATATCAGTAAGAGCCCCCCTTGTGAAGTGATCAAAAAATTTGAGAAGTATGTCTAAATATTTATATACTATTTCATGCGATTCAGTATCAAGCAAACAAGTAGCCAGTCCAGCTTTCCTCATCCTACACACAGCAACTACAGGGAGGCTTTTAATCTCTCATAGGAGAATAGAGATAATTAGCTCATGTCTCATTAACAGTACTAGCAGCTTGTAAATGAGACAAGTGTGTGTGTGGTAATTCAATGTAAAGAGCACTGCTGTCTTCTAGCAGATAGTTTAACAAGAGAAAGCACTTTATTAATAACTGAATCTTTCAAGGGAGAAGATCTGTCAAGTAAAAACTAGAGGAGTGATTAAAGTACATGGGAAAATGGACTTTTGACTTAATTTGCTTTCTCTAAACCTGAAGAATATCTGACTCAACGAAATACAAGGTGAGTACATTACTCTGAGATTAGAGCTTTGCTTATAATGCTCTTATCTGCCTTCCCCAACTATCTGGATAAACCAGGAGTTAATGCCCTTCTTTTTTTTTTTTTAAAAAAAAAGCAGAGACTATGAAAATGTAAAAAAATCCTGCACATTTGATAAAAATTATTCCATTTCCTGCCATAGAGGGGTTTTTATTAGAAAATGGTAAGTAAGTTAAAAGAGGAGATTTGCAGCTGAATTGATAAGCACAATTTTACTACACATGTCAGGTTTAAAGAGGGTTTAACTCCAAAACAAAAGTCAGTTTGGTAAGAGATATTGCCTTGACCGATTTACAGATGTGATATAAAAGTTCAAATCTAATGGAATAGGTTGCCTTACTCTATAAAAATGCCCAAATAAACCCAGGATCCATTTCCCTCCCTTCTCCTAAGACAGTATAAATCATTATTAGAAGTCTTCAGAAGTCCAAAAAACAGCCCCCAAGAAATCTCAATTGATCACTTAAATCACTAGAGTCTCAGAACGTTATCTGCAGATTTACATACCAGTATACATAGAAAATGTTTTAACAGAGATTCAGCAGTCGCAACAGTAAAGCCACACTTTCCATGATCAGCATCCTGCTGCTCTATATTAACACAGAGCGCTGGCACAGGTTATTCTTCTTCAAAGGAGAATCCATATATTTCAGTTTTTCAAAGGAAGTCCACCTTCTCATAGGCCTTTTCAATGAGGGTTAACATATTCTTCAAGTCAGCTGACTGCTGAATAGTGTTCATATCCTTTAAAAGACCTTTCTGATTTTTTACCTTCAAAATTTCTTCCTAAAAAACAGAAGAAAGCATAACAGACAATGAACAAAAAACGAGCTTTGAGTCCAACAGAAATGTCACTTTCATGCAGCCTAGTTGTACCTAAATAAAGCCAAAAATTAAAAAATACACAAAGGCACAAAATGAGACAGTCTACTTTCCATTAATTACAGAGACATATTTCAGAAATGATTACACATTCCCTAGGACCATAGAGTTCCTAGGAACAGACAAGCAATCCTTTAAATGGCAGGTTTTCTCCATGAAAAGAAAAGGAAAAAAAAAGAGAAAAGGGAAAACTTTCAGATATTTCAAAATTGCCCTTTCTGGCTGAGGTTGACTGATAAAAGCACGGTCTGTTGTCCTCCTTCTCATAGCCAAGGGGTCTCTGAATATTTATTTCGTGCTCACCTGCAAAGTGGGTGCCTGTAAACTGCGCTTGGGGAGTTCTGGAAGGTGGAGTGCTCCACTGCTGTTTTCCTGGAATACCTAGAAAGAGGATAAAAAAACACAAAAGAGAAAAAAAAAATCAAAACCAAATGTCAGGCACACAAGTAGGAAAATGAATTGGCTGTCATCATTCAACTTCTGAAAACTAAATATAAGTTTGCTGCTGAAGTTGGAAAGATTTCCCAAAGGCAAATAAAGTCTTCCTTATATGACGTGCTCTGCAGAAACAGCTTGGACAGGAGAAGCTCTTTCCAGAGCCACAGAATCACAGAATCACAGAATGTTAGAGATTGGAAGGGACCTCAAAAGACCATCCAGTCCAATCCCCCTGCCGGAGCAGGAACACCCAGATGAGGTTACACAGGAAGGCGTCCAGGCGGGTTTTGAATGTCTCCAGAGAAGGAGACTCCACGACCTCTCTGGGCAGCCTGGTCCAGTGCTCTGTCACCCACACTGAGAAGAAGTTTCTTCTCAATTTAAGTGGAACCTCCTGTGTTCCAGTTTGTGTCCGTTACCCCTTGTCTTATCATTGTTTGTCACCGAGAAGAGCCTGGCTCCATCCTCGCGACACTCACCCTTTATATATTTATAAACATGAATGAGGTCTCCCCTCAAGTCTCCTCTGCTCCAAGCTAAAGAGACCCAGCTCCCTCAGCCGCTCCTCATAAGGGAGATGCTCCACTCCCTTGATCATCTTTGCAGCTCTACCCTGGACTCGCTCCAGCAGCTCCTTGTCCTTCTTGAACTGAGGGGCCCAGAACTGGATGCAATATTCCAGATACGGTCTCACCAGGGCAGAGTAGAGGGGGAGGAGAACCTGAGAGAAATGCACCATCTACCAGAAATACCTTTCCAGCCTTTCTTTCATCTTCCTCTAACTGGCTCTTGAGCACCTGTATTTTGTACTGCAGTTGTAGTATATTTTCCTCAATGCGTTCTGCTGATCGCTCAGCTTCATTTATTTCTTCCTAAAACAAAATAGACATAAAAACAGAACAAAATTTACTTAAGTGATGGTGAGCCTTTTGCATATAAGATACTGATAAGCAGCATCAGTAGCTGAGTCACTAAAAATCATCTAAGAAGATACACTGCTTTGTAGCAAAGATGACAGCGCTGAACAATGGACAACTCCTCCACAACAGCACAGGCGTAGCCAGCAGTCCCTCTACTAAAAAGTTACAACACACCGAGTAGCAGCAGCAGATGGGTAAGATATTTTCTTCCCTTTCTTGCCTTTCATACCTGCAATTGTACCAGAGATTCTTCATTTGTCTCAAGCATTCGTTCTTCTGCCATTTGAAGGCTCGGGACATTCTTCAGGTTGCCCAGTTTCCCTGGAGGTACCTTTAAAGTCTTGAAAAATCTCAGCACCCTTTATTATAGAAAAAGGAAAACATGACTTGTTTGGAGCTGTTTGAACAAAAAGAAAACAGACTAATGACTTCTCTGGGGAAAAGCTAAACTCGATCTAGCCCAATTGCTGCCAGCGAAGTAAAAAGAAAAAACTGGTTTGAATTCTTTTACATAAATCATATGGAATAGATGTCTAAGGAAGGAATCAGTAAGAAGAAACCACACAATTCTAACATTTGCTATTACACTGACATTGTGTGGTTTCTATTCCATTGGCCTGTACACTCCCTGACACTAATTTGACATCAATATTTTCCCAGTTCTGACCTTTCTGCTTTTTGAAGTAAAACTAAGTTCTAAAAGCAGCATTTTTAACTGCTTTCACACAAAATCATTTTAATTAAGTCTGCAAATGCTTTTGTGAAATATGATATATAGTATTAAGCCAGGGAAAAGTTTTATCTTGCTCTCAAAGGTCCTTCTGATTCTGAGGTGGACTCAAATTCTTCCAAGTTGGATCTGTCTGCTAGATACATCAAACTGCCACAATTTCCATGCATCTCAGATGAGATCGCAGGAGTTTGGCAACTCAGAAATCAAACCAAACACCTCACAAATTAAACATTTAAAAAAAACCCCAAACAAACAAAAATACTCTCTTTGAAGTAACTTCAACGATCAGAAAAGGAATTAGCATTTAAGGAAATTTAGCTATAACTGCTCTCACCACTATCATAAAATGATAGCAAAATAAATAGCTGCCCACAGATTTAAACTCTGTATAACGAGCACAAAGCTGATTCAAGGAGCTCTTAAGAACACCTCCTAGGTTCTGTTACTCATACAGAAGCAGTTAAAGCGGGTCTTTCAACAGCTCTTGCTTGTCCACTTCAATCAATGTAGTCAAGATATTTCCCTTCTTGATTTTGCATAAACTCTCTCAAAATTTCCTAAATGTGATTGTTCCCAAGAGCAATTCTGTAAGCATGGTACAAAGTAACTGGGTAAACTAAATTCCCTTCTTTCCATCTTTTTTAAAATTATAATTTCTTACTTTTCTTTCAGTAAATTGAGGTGTCTCTGAACATCATCTTTTCTATCACTTTGTTGGCACAAAATGGATCTGGAAGGAAAATAAAAGCAGAATTTTCATTTTCATTTGCAAGGATAGAAAACGCATCAAGCAAAGTAAAGATAGCCAGAACTTCTCTAGCTGAAACTTTCCCACTGCAGATAGAAAGTGTTGTACCATACTGGTCAAAATATACACAGCCAGCCATATTACTCAGAAAAGCTCCAAAGCTATTCCAGTTCAAGCAGTGTTGTGATTTTTATCTTTTCCCTTGTGGAAACAGAGAAGAATCACCAGGATATCCGACACTTACAGTATTACTGAATCCATTGCAGTTTCTAGAAACTTCCTGCTGCTATCTGAGAGGGTCTGCCAAGATCCTATTTTAGCATTGGTTAGTTTCACCTTATTTGAAGAACCTTTCTTTCCTGTTAACACAAAGGAAAAAAAGAAAAGAGATGACTTGTCAAATCTGGATAAAGAGCTTTGTGACTCAATTCAGTCACGTCGTCGTCAAAGATGTAACAGTTAAGATCTTTCACGTCACAAAACTTTTACATCATATCTATCCACATCAGGTGGTACTTATTACTTACAAGTCCCAAGTTGTTTAAAAAGCACAAAATAGAAAAGGGTCTTTCTTACAGTAGTTTCATTACAAGCAGGTACTTTTCCCAAATCATTACTGATACAAGTGAGAAATCCCAGAATGAAATAGAAAAAAAAAAGTGAGAATATACATAAGCAATAAACTTAATGTAGCATGGGCCTCATAAGCAAGAAACTCAATGTAGCATGGGCCTCATAAGCAAGAAACTCAATGTAGCATGGGCCTCAGCTCTCTGAAGCTTACAACTTAAAACTGGAGCTTAGAACTTACAACTCTGGAACTTAGAACTTAAAACATTCTGGATGCTCGCGGTGGAATTTCACAGAAGAACACTACTTGCAAACAAAAGTATGTGATTAATTTGTGCGTATACAAAACATACAATACGAATGCACGCTGGCTAAGACAGCACTGCAAATACTCACTGTCACCGCTCAGAAAGCGAGCTTGGAAACTTTATTTCTGTGATCTCAGACATTTATGATTTCAACATAGCAGTAACTACTTTGACTTTCAGTGTTTTTTTCAAAATACTGGATTTGCATGAGACAGTCCTACCTGGGGGGGAATAGTTCTCATCTTCCGTAGCTTTCCTTCCGACTGCTTGAGTGACCTGCTGAAAAGTTTACAGCAAATGTGGTAATTTTGAAATATCCTCTGCTGTGCAACCATTCATCTACTACCAGCAACCCACAATAAAAAGGCTGTGAAAGTACATCAGGGCTTGACAGAGGTCTATTGCTGTCGGCAAAAAAAAAAAGGTTTTCTGGACTGTGAAACAATAATTCAACTCAAGTAAGTTAAGAAAAGCAATTCACTCTTCTTAGTTCCTCCCATTCCAAGAATGAGGTCATGAAATAAGAAATTCACAGGATGTTTAGCTATCCAGCCACACCTTGAGATCAAGTTGTTCATAAATTAGCTGGTTAAGCAGTTCTCTCCAACAGAATGCTGACTATATCAGTCCCAAGACACACAGAGATTATTTTCCAGAACTAAATAATCGTCACCTGAGCTCAATGAACTCTGACTTTATTGCTCTGTTCAAACAGATGCTATGCAGCTCTTCAAAACTGCACAGCCAGCTTGCCTTTACATCATCAGGCAATGCTTCCCTCTACTTGTCACAGGCACACTAACAGGCAACTAGAAATTCTGAAAACCAGGGAACAGCTAAGGCAGTGGGTCTCAAAAGAGTCGTTCACACTGGTCGTTCCCTCAAAAGGATTACTTCTAGTTAATGAAATATCTTCTATAAATCCCAGTAGAAAACCGGGCAAAAATGCTTTTTTTTTTCCTTTGGTTACTTTTCTAACAGTTTTTAATCCAAAATAATGGCTACCTTTCTTTTTTGACCTTGCAGTCTTCCTTTTTCATCTGTTCCCTTTTTTTTGCTGGACAGCCCTTGCTGATTTTGTGATTTAAAGGGGTTTCTTGCTGATCTCCCACCAGCGGTCTTCCCCATTTTGCTGGCAGATGCGTGGTTGTGTTTCATTGTCTGTAAACAAAGTGGAACGGGAGGAAACAAAAACAAAATTAAAATCCAGCAACTATAATCCGTACAGTACAAACCACACTCTAACAAGTAAAAGAGAAGAAATACCCTGTGCTAAATGAGCACAAATGTCTGCATATTTGCAAAATTTAAGTACAGGACCACTAGAAAAGCACCCCCATTTGCCTTTTAGGACAGTCAGTATGTGTTCCACTTCTTAAGAAATTTAAAAGTCAGCATGTCTGTTATAACAAAGAGCAGCAACAATAATGACAGGTAACAGAACTAATTTATTCTTAAAGGCCTTCAAAATTAGAAATTCTTTATCTTTCTATCACAGCCCAGTGCAGATGTACTACTACCACAGCTTTTTACCCTAGCACATAACCATAACGTTCCTTGCTGCAGTTCAAACCTATAATTTCCTGCCTTGCTTACTACAGAAATAGAGGAAAAAGAATCACAGAATCACAGAACGTTAGG